TTTTTGGGGGGGGGGGGGGGGGGGGACCTGCATAGTGCACCTTTAAGGTATATAATATGCACTCTTCAGGAGTAGATAAAGCACAAAGGTGTAGCTACTGTGAGTGTAGTGTGCAGTGAGCAGCTAATGATACCATTCATAATATCTCCCTTATTTAAACACTTGATTCAATTCATCATGCAAATAACTAATCATGAAAGGTGTTGAATCCACAGCACTATATTTCCATCTACTCGCGCTGCGTCAGAGGTTTCTATTTTCATCGTGTTTTTGCAGCACAAGCCGCAAGTGTAAAAGCAGCCGCAGATTAGGGCAGGCAACACTGCTGCAATAAACAGCTATACACAAATAAAAGACAACTAAAATCATACTGTTTATACCCAGTGTGTTGTGGGACCCAGAATGCTAACTGAGAACTGCTGTCTTTGATCATCTTTGCAGGGATTAGAGAAATAGAAACTGGAATACAGTTGGAGGAGGAGGAGGAGGGATGCTAGAGGAGTTTGTCACAGAAAAGTGTGTGTGCTTGTTTATAAACTCCTATTAAATGACTGACAGGACTGGATGAACAGGCTCCTCTTGAAATCACATTTACTGTATTTCAATACATTTTATTTATCTTTCACAGGCCCTGTGACTATAAATGTTATTTAATCAAACAAAGAACCATAAGACCAAAACGAGCCTCAACCACGTGTTCCTGCAGTGATTTACAGGCTTATTTATAGTCATGCAATACAACAGTTTCTAGTCCTCTGTGGCATCTATTAGAGCAGGTAATTCTTATGAAAAACACGGTCACACTAGACTATGAGCATGCAAAATATATAAAGACATACAGTTTATACAGTTTATGTTGTGCATATTTTTACATGTGACACATCTAAAATGTTATCAACGTACTTCACTGCAGTCCTCCCGATCTAAAGTTTGAGTTCATTTAATTCAGCTAAGAGGCCACAGCGATCTTCTATTGGTCATGTGATCATGTGATCCAAATTCACAGGTCAGAGTTCTCCAAACTTGAACTCTGGGACGCAGCGAAATTCACCTGAGCTTGTGTTTCTCTCACGTTCACATGCATATGAATGGAAGTTAGTGGAAGGAAAAGTATAGTGTGGCCGGCCCTTAAAACTCACCATTCTCACCACCTCATCAAACCACTTCCAAGTCTTTTTTTAACTTAGTGTAGTGCTTCATACAGAAAATGAAAGCCTAAGGTGGCTGTGGCATAGGAGAAACCTGGCAAAGGAACTAGGCCTCCATCTTGAGTCTGTCAAGATCTCTCCAGATTAAATCTGATGTCTTTAAGACAGCTTTCTTTCCCCAATCAAGCCACTCGTGTGATACAAGTGGTGAAACACTAAGCAGGAGGCTTCCTGATTGGCTGTTTGTACAGTCTATGCCCCTCTGAGACTGTCATGAATGGGTGCCGTCAGTGCGTTTGTCGATGGTTGCAGCCACAGGTTCAGCACTCAGACTCCATCGGCAAATGCCACAAGCTTTCTCTGGGCTGAGACTGCAAACATCACAAGCTGAAGAGCTACAGGAAGATCAGAAATACACACTCCATTTCCGCGATCCATTTGCTTCATATTTTGAGATGGCTGCATATTACCATAATTGTCTGGATGATTAGTGCCAATAAATATCCTCTCGAGCACTTTCCGACTGTTGTGTGAACATAAATCATTAAAAATACAAAATAATGTTAAGACACCTTGAAAGTCATCTCTCATTAGAGTCCCAGGGTTCTGTGAATGTAATGGAATTATTGTTACATAATGGACCGCTGTTCCCCTCATCTGCACACAGTATGTCTTGAGATGAATGCATTCGACTCAGCACCAAGTGCGTATGGAAGCACAAAGATGTCAAAACTCACAAGAAGAACGAGAGACACCTCTATTTATCATTTCACATCAATGTGCTCTACTTACTGTCAGATTTGAGGGGAATATTCAGATATGCCGTGTCAATAATACTAAATCTGACTGAAGCGAACTTCTTAAAGGGGTCATATGATGCTATTTTAAAGATCATTATTTTGTGTATTTGGTGTGACAGAATATGTTGACATGCTTTAATGTTCAAAAAACACATTATTTTTCAAATACTGTACATTATTGTAGGTCCTCTATGCCCCGCCTCTCTCAAACACGGTGTTTTCAACAAAGCCCCCCCCTTTGACAAGCGCAGTCTGCTCTGATTGGCCAGCTGACCCAGTGCATTGTGACTGGCCGAACACCACAAGCACGCATCGGAAATGTAACGCCCCTTACCATAATCGCTTCAGCTTTCAAAGTAAATATCAAGACGGTTAATAAATGTCGTTAGTTTTACCATCAGTTCAAGCCCGAAAGGGCGACAGAGTCACGTGACAGACACAGTGACAATGCAGTACACAAGCCGCGGTTAAGACAGCTGACGTGCTATGATTTCTGACAGACAGTTCACTCTCCTGTGATGTGACCCTGTTCCCCTCACACACACACACACACACAC